TTCTCCGTCCAGTGTTCTTTTGAACATCGGACAGTTATGCAAATTTGCTTAATCAAGATTACTGCGTCTGAAGGGTTTATCTTCCACTAGGGAAAATGTTTCGTAAAGATAATCGTTGAAATTCTTACATTTTCCTTTTCAAGATAGTTTAGTTTAAGGATAAGTATTAGATGAAACTTTCAATGTGATAAGCTTGTTAAGCAAAGTCAACATATTTGTCTAAAGGTTGTTTTAAAGATGTATATAAACATTAGACAAAGTCTTTCACAAAGGTTTAATCAGTAAGGAAGATTTGCGTCTAAGTAAATAAGAGGATGCAATCATTTTATACTGGTTCGCTCAATAGAGCTACGTCAAGTCTCCTTCAACTTGAAGGGTTCCACTAGATATAAAATGAAGTACATTGAGTATTATCGTCCACTCCTGGACCTGAGTATTCTCGACCACTCCTGACCCAAGTATTCTCGACTACTCCTAGCCCGTAGGCTTCACTCACCAACGCTAGTATTCTTAAACCACTTATGGTTCTCCAAGTATTCTCGACTACTCCTGGCCCGTCGGCTTCACTCACCAACGCTAGTATTCTTAAACCACTTCTGGTTCTCCAAGTATCCTAGCCTCTTCAGGCTTTACGATGATAGATGTGTAGTCGGGTTCGAGTGTTTTGGGTTACTCTCATAGAGAGGATACATATATGATCTACACTCACTAAGGTTTGCTACCTTAATTTTACAGAGATTTTGAGTATGTGGGTTACTCTCATGGAGAGGATACATAAGTTTACAACACTCACTAAGGTTTTGTCCATCACTAAAATTTTTGAACACCTTAGTCTATAGAGATAAAAAATACAATATAACATTGTACATATGACTATGTATGCTCAGCTGTGGTCTCTATCTCGTGAGCTTGATATCACTCTTTTTCTTCCAATCAAAAAGCCAACCTCTTAAAGTTTGAGATAGTGATATATATATATATATATATGGTCTAGTGGAGATCTGCCCGTTTCTTGATTTTGAATATGTCCATTGATGCGGAGCTTCCCGTTGCAAGTGTCCGTTGAAGTAGATATATTCATTCAAGACTAGTTTGATCCTTTCATTTAATGCATTTGGTCTTGCATTAAATGTTGCTTCCTGCTTTTAGACATTGCGTGTATTCTTCTTTGGTCAATTGTCAGTGGTGTTTGACTTTATCTGAGACCTAGAAGTTGTTTGTCTTTTTCTGATCATGCAGCAATATAACCGTTGTCCTTTTCTAAAAAAGTAATCTACTTTTTCTGACCCATGCATGCTTTTGCTTTTGCGTTCTTCTTTTCTTCTTTGTTTCTTCGTTTGGATCATGTGTCTTATATTGAGTGCTTCTGTGTGATTATAGACGATGCCTTGGTTTATCTCTTGAGACTTGATTCTTTATATGCTTTTATGATAGTCTTCGTCTTCGTCTGTTGGTCTTGTGCATTTCAATCTTGACTTTTGCCTCAACGTTTGAGTTCAGTGCTTGAACTTTTCTTTGGTCTGATTAACAATGTGAGTAAACAAACATTATTTCTATCTAGAGTATCTTTCAGTCTGTGTTGTCCTTCATCTGATGCATGGTCGACTTTCTTTTGATCTTAGACATATGTCTCATCTGATTTGCACTTTATGATAGTTGTACTAGACACGTCTCTGTCTGAGTATTTTATGATCATCTGGCACTCGTTCGTGTTCCAACTATCCATCTCTTGACGCTTGGTTTCCTCTGTCTCTTGCTTCATCTGTCTCAACTTCACTGGTTCATGTCTCTCCTTGACTATTTCTTCGTCTGATACTTCGATGTCTCATTTTGGTAATAGTAGACTTCGCTCTTATGCTTGATTTCTCATCATCTGATTCTTTCATCTGATTTGTACAGTCTTCATTAATTGTGACATTTAATGCTTCTGACTTGGCATTAAATGTTTGCTTGCTGAATCTGCACTTTTTGAGATCTTTTGTACTTTCTTGGTACTGTTGTTGCAGAGGTGTTTTCTTTTCCTGGCTGGTAGGTGTACTTGTTCTGACAAATGCTATTTTGATTTGTGGATAGGCGCTCATCCATTTGTCTTATCTTCCTTCTTATACTTTAATGACTCCATATGTTCTTCTAAGAGTATAGATGTTAGGTAGTTTGTCTCGTTGTGTCTTCAGACGTAATCCAGCTTCCGTGATCTTCATCTGTGTATTCGAGTCTTTGTCTGATTGGTTGTTGTAGATACTTGACTCTGTCTATGGTGCTTTAACTTAGTCTTGCCCATCGTCCATGGTCTTGTATCATCTGAGGCTTCATTATTTTACTTCTTGTGCTGGGCTTGATTCTGTTTGATCGTTTGATCTTTTCATCTGTCGTCTTGTTAGCTTTTTCCCTTCATCTTGGTTGCTCGTGCTCTTGTCCTTTATTTCATTTGTGTATGGGTTTGTGGGTGTCTTCGTCTGATGTAGTTCCTTCTTTTGCTCAACCTTTATCCAAGTGCTTG